ATGAGCTAGTAATTTTTTTATCCACACATCTGATGTTTTAGATTAATATTTCGAGAAATCGTTGTCAATAAAAATGCAAACATTTAGTATAAAATACGAGTGGTTTCTTAAGAATGAAGAAAATGAGCATTAGTAAGCCGAATTGGGTTTCATATAATTTCCTGAATAATGATTTTTAAAAATTGCTCAGGGATATATTATTGCTTTCCCTCCCGTTTGTGTCTGCTGTGTTTTTATGTGTATATTTTCATCTGAATTTGATCAAATTTATTAAAAGGATTGAGTGTTTCCCAAGGACAAATTGATTAACTTTTGGTGAATGTATGTCAGAAGTTCAGATCATAATGGAGGTCAAACACTTGCGTTATATATATCTATTAAATTGGGATTCTGAAAAACGGTCAAAACGCGAGAAGAAATTGGGCTAGAAAGTATCTCAGCATCTAGATCCTAGACTTACTATTTTGAGGATGAAAAATTGTATGGTGCACAATTTAGAGGAGGGGTTGGCTCTCTGTTAGTCTTTTCTGTTTGTTTTTGTAAACCACAAAAAATGTTTTGTTATTTTGTGTATCAAAATGTTGTGATATACAGGTGTATCATATTTTATGTTTTTCATGTACTTTTCCATCATCTTTAGTCATGTAGAATTTTCGAATTTTTAATGTAATTGTTGCTCTGCAGTTTTTCATTTTAAAAAAAATTTGGTCCCAAAAGCCTTGAAGTTTTACACTTCTAGCATGATCTTCTGTCCTTGTACCTCTTTCTACCTGAATCATATAAAATATCACCTCCTGACCTTCTGTCATATCAAATATCACCTCCTGACCTTCTGTCATATCAAATATCACCTCCTGACCGTGTACCTCTTTCTACCTGCATCATATCAAATATCACCTTCTGTCCTTGTACGCTCTTTCTACCTGCATCATATCAAATATCACCTCCTGACCTTCTGTCATATCACATACCACCTTCTGCCCTTGTACCTCTTTCTACCTGCATCATATCAAATATCACCTCCTGACCGTGTACCTCTTTCTACCTGCATCATATCAAATATCACGTATAATAGTTAAACGAACCGCCTAAACGTCACGTTAGTGTAGCATATATAATGTGTAAAGTTTAGTATATTCTAATCTCTTATAGTGATGGCACACGACGAGACACACAATCGCCATGTAATGCTGTTTGAATACAAGAAGGGAAACAACGTCTCTGTAGCCACAAAAAATATAAAAGAAGTTTATGGAAATGTTTTGAACGTTCGTAAGTGTTAACAATGGTTCAGCAAATTTCGTTCAGGTGACTTTAGCCTTAAAAACTGTGGTGGCAGGGGCCGACATGTTGGAATTGATACTGATGCTCTGAAGACGCTTGTTGAATCTAACCCAAAGCAACACACTCGTGAAATGGTTCTGAAATTGCATGTTTCTCATAAAACAATACGTAAACATATAAGGAATATGGGAAAAATCCATAAAGAAGGTGTTTGGGTGCCTTACGAAC